TTTATATAATGCACCAGAGGCCTAGGTTAACAAGAGTCCTAGCAGAATACGCCGGTGGGGAGAAGTCCTTGTCTTGATCGCCAAGTCTTTGTGGAATCTTCCCTATATGTGGCAGCTGTCCGAACTGGCCCATGAGTATACGGCCATGGGGGGCCTCGGCCCAATCTAATAGATCAGGAGACGACGTGGTGAGTATCCCCTAGTCCAGGACACCGTCAACCGTAGTTTGAGGAGTTCATGTATTCACTATGTGTTAATGCTTTGTTCCGGTTCTCTATTAAAAGGAGACCTTAATATCCCTTAGTTTCTGTAAGGACCCCGCTGCCATGGGAGGGTAGGGCAAAACATGTCATGCAAGTTCTTTTCCATAAGCACGTATGACTATGTTCGGAATACATGCCTACATTATATCAATGAACTGGAGCTAGTTCTGTGTCACCCTAGGTTATGACTGTTACATGATGAACCGCATCCGGCATAATTCTACATCACCGATCCATTGCCTACGAGCTTTCCATATATTGTTATTCGCTTATTTACCTTCCCGTTGCTATTGCTCTCATCACTACAAAATACCAAAAACATTGCTTTTACTACCGTTACCTTTTGCTACCGTTACCACTACTATCATATTACTTTGCTACTAAATACTTTGTTGTAGATATTAAATTTTCAGGTGTGGTTGAATTGACAACTCAGCTGCTAATACTTGAGAATATTCTTTGGCTCCCGTTGTGTCGAATCAATAAATTTGGGTTGAATACTCTACCCTCGAAAACTGTTGCGATCCCCTATACTTGTGGGTTATCAATGCCTAACATGGGCATGCCCACCTTCTTGCAAAAGTTGGGGCCAGTCTTGAGATTTCTAAAAAAACACCATGTTTAACAAGGAGTGTTTGCGTTCACCAAAAGGGTTCATTTGGGAGCACCTTGTTACTCGACATCCCTTAAATGAACCCATTTTTTTCATGATCTTGTATGACCAATGCAAGGCATCATGCCAAGTTGTGTGGGTTTTCAACATTTTTTGCAATTTTTGGAGTTTTCTCGAGCAAAAAAGGTTGATAAATGGCCGAACATATCACAACTTGCATACGGCGTCGGAAGTCGTTCAAACTAGACATGAATGCCTACAATGGGCATGTCCACCTACTTGCAAAAGTTGGGGTTATTTTAAGAATGTCCCAAAATTGACCATGTTCAATGAAGTGTGTTCGGATAGGCCACAAGGGTCCGTTTGAAAGCACGTTGTTTTCCGACATCCGTCGTGCTAAGGCCCCATAGAACCAACGCACCAGAAAAGCAGCCGCCACAGATGAAGAGTGTAGATCAAAAGGATCCATCCTGAAAACACACGATCGAAGACGAAGGACGAACAGATCCGAGCAAATCCACCAAAGACAGATCCGTCGGAGACACACCTCCACATGCCCACCGATGATGTTAGACGCATCACCAAAACAGAGGCTAGGCGGAGAGAACTTTATTCCATCTTCAGGGGGCCGCCACCGTCTCGTCTTCCGGAGCAGGACACAAACCCTAACAAAGCTCGAAAAAATATCTAAAAACTGAGCCGTCCCACCAGCAAGGGGCGAGATCCACTCCACCTCCATGGCCCTAAGGCCACTGGAGACGGGATGGACCGGCCCCGGCGCCGGCGCACTAGTAGAAAAAGGGTCTAATCCCGGTTTGTAATTAAACCGGCACTAATGTGACCATTAGTACCGGTTCCAACGGCTAGGCGGGCGGCGCTCATTAGTACCGGTTTGTGGCAAACCTTTAGTACCGGTTCGTGCCACGGCTTTTAGTATGGGTTGGTGGCTCCAACCGGTACTAAAGACCCCCCCTTTAGTACCGGTTGGAGCCACCAACCGGTACTAAAGATGGTGCGCTGCCACCCGCAGTGCATAATGTTTAGTCCCACCTCGCTAGTTGAGAGGAGCTCGCACCGGTTTATAAGCCCCGCCACGGCTACCGTGTCGAGCTCCTCTCTAAGCAGGCCTTTGTGGGCCTATTGCAAGTCTTCTGCCCTATGGGGCCTATTGGGCCGTACGGGCCTGCATCCTGGCCCAAGTAGAGATTGGGTTTCTAGTCATATGCACCCCGTGCCGGCCCAGTAGGCGGGCTGTTGTTGCTTTATTTTAAAAATAAAAATAAAAAATCCTTACCAACCGGGACTAAAGGTCCCCCAGACCACGGCGCGCCTCGTGCCACGTAGTGAGCCTTTGGTCCCGGTTCATGTTGAACCGGGACTAAAGGGGGGACCTTTAGTCCCCACTCTTTAGTGCCGGTTCCAGAACCGGTACTAAAGATCCTTACGAACCGGTACTAAAAGTCGTTTTTCTACTAGAGGCGGGAGGCAAAGTACCCTAGTTTTTTGGAGGCGGCAGCTGGCTAGGAGGTCTGGTAATTTATTGCATGTATAAGATTAATTATGTATGGCTGGATCAATGGTTTTATATGATTATATAATCCATATATCCTACCATTGATTATAAAAGGGTAAGGAGAGATCTTCTTCATAGATGTGTTTAGAGGGATTATACCGAAAAAGAAGTGTTAGTGATTAGGGAAGCCGGCATAAATATTGCATGTTATCCAAGCGTCTAGAACAAGCCCGCCTGACCTTTTATACAAGGCAATAGTACATACCTAGAAGAAGAAGAAGAAGTAGAAGAAGAAGAAGAAGAAGAAGAAGAAGGGCAGGTGGGGAGGAGAGAGTTGCCGTCCATTTTCACATGATCCACTCGATACGCCAGCTTGTCCCGACCCAGCCATTATGTAGCTGCGCCAGCTAGTAGGCCGAGTCGTAAAATCCTATTGGCCGCTCATTGCGGCAAACTGCCGGCGCTTCGCACAGGGGCGAGCGACCGAGTGATGCTTTGGGCCGGCCCACTTAACTTACAAACTGCCCCACGCTGAAACTTCTAGAAGGTTTCATGAACCAGTTTTTTCCTTTGATTGGTTTTCCACCATTTTTCACTTTTCTGTTTCGTTTTCTTTTCTTTGTTTTTGTTTTCTTTTCTTTGTTTTCGTTTTTTGTTTATTTTTCATTTTTTGTTTTTTGTTTTTTGTTTCCTTTTCTTTTTTCAAGTTTATTTTTCTTTTTCAGAATATGTTCGCAGTTTTACAGAATGTTTATGATTTTCTTTTTTCTTTCTTTTTCTTTAAAAAAATCAAGAAATTTAAATTTTGTTCATGTTTCCCAAAAATGTTCTCAAAATTCAAAATTGTTCTCATTACACAAAAAAGTTCAAAACTTTTGGAATTTCGAAAATGTACCGGATTTTAATTTTTTATTCACATATTCAAAAAATGTTTTTGCTTCCAAATTTGTTTGGGATTTTTCAAAATTTGTTCTCAAGATTCAAAAAATGTTCGTGCTTAAAAAAAAGTTCGGCCTTCCAAATTTGTTCTCAAGATTCAAAAATCGTTTGTGCTTTAAAAAATTGTTTATAAGTTCCTAAAATGTTCATGTTTTCGAAAAATATTTGGGAAATTCAAAATTTGTTCACATATTAAAAAAAATCTTGTTTCAAAATGTATTCACAAATTCAAAAAATTGTCCGCATGTTTAATTTTTTTCACTAATTCAAAAAATAGTTCACATATTCCAAAAAATACTGCAGTTTTGAAATTTTGTAATTGGCTGAACTGGTTTTTATTTTTCGCCGCTGTGGCAGTTTATTTAACCTCCTGCTGCTATTGTTTTGCCTTAGCTAGCCTGGCGCAGTGGCTAGAGCAACACGTGCAACTATGGAAGGTCGTTGTTCGAATCCTCCCTCTTTTTTGGCGAATTTTTCATTCCTTGACGTACAGCGAATGGGCCGGCCCCAGTTGCACGACTCCTGTGCGTCGCGCGACCTATTTCGGCCGCAAAATGCGGCATATAGGAGGTCTCGGCCGAGCCAGCTGTTGTCTTCCGGTGCGGTCGCCTGCATCTTGTGCAGATTGGCCTGCCTAAAGCATGAGGCGTGCGTCCTTTCAGCGTTTTGTTTTCTTTCTTTTCCTTTTTCCTTTCCCTTTTTTTGTTCTTTTCATTTATTTATTTTTTGGTTTATATTTTGAAATATTTTGAATTAATATTTCGAAATTTAAATTTATATAAAATGTTCATTCCACGTTCACAAAATGTTCATGCAGTGTTAGAAAAATGATGTGCATCTTTTAGAAAATGTTATAGCATTTAAAAAGATGTTCATCAGATTAAAACAATTCAAATTTCTCTAGAAAATCTTCATGGCATGTTCAAAAATATTTCTACGATGTAAAAAATATTCATGTAGTTCAAAAAATATATATTGCATACATTTTAAAAAATTGACATGTTAAAAAACTGTTCGTGGTATTTTTAAAAATGTTGATACAATGTAAAAAAAATGTTGCCGTAATTCAAAAAAAGATGTTTCATGCCATTCAAAAAATGTAATGGATGCCAATGCATCGAGTTGTTTGGATTACAAATATATAGTCTGTGATTACAACATATAAATAATCTCCATTTACAGCTGAAGCTGCGGACTGTCATTCTTTTGGGTGGAATAGATCACTCAATACACCAGCACATATACTAGTGTATGTTCAACCAGGATTCAGGTATAGATGTAGAAAATAAAGGGATTCAGATCAACACCTAGACGATATGGTTTCGCCCAGTCCAGCACCTTCTGCTCGTCCTCTGGGCGGTTCCCCATCGACACACCGGCGCCCCGTGATGAGCTCATAGAGCAGCACGCAGTAGCTCCAGGTATCACTGTTGGCCGTCATATACCAACTTATGTTGTTCGGTTAATACTTTACATTGCTGACATGTATCTGAAAATCTGAATGTACAACGTCCCTATGATGCCACGACTTGAAGAATCAGATTTTCAACCACACAGCATGTTGTGTGAATCTTGAAAGACACACAGAGAACAATTAATTACCTCAGTAACGAGTAATGACAGCGATACACAGGGTGTCAATAGAGAAATTTCCCACCTCGGCACCGCTAAGCTAAACCCCAAGTTGACGAAGAGAGTCAGGGCCGACAAGGTATATTCGTCTTCGACTGCTCTCGTATCGGAAGACCACCACGCCCTTGTAAGCTGCTCGTGGAACACCGTCCTTAGAAATTGGCAGAAAAAAATAAAATATGAGCAATAATGTTTTGCACCGGTAGACTACTACTCCCTCCGTTCCACAACACATGCCTTCCATTTATCAAAATATAGATGTATCTAGACATGTTTTAGTATATAGGTACATCCATTTTTGGACAAATGGAAGTCAAGTATTTTGGAACGGAGGGAGTATTACTCAGGTTCTTACGCATTTCTAGTCCAAATGCAAAATTGCATTTTTCTAATAGAGCAAAGAATCACCACTCAGAGATTTATCACTTGCCATACTTGAGAACGAAAGATAAATGAATTAAATTGGGTTAGCAAGGGAACCTTCCACTCTTCAAATACTCCAAACTGACGAGCTACACGCTCGAAATCGCTCTGATCGTTATACTGAATCCTTACGTCCACATCCAGATTGTGGGCCTTCAACAAATCATCGGATCCACGCACAGGTGTGGCATTAGCGACATCTTTCCCAAATTTGATCAAGAACTTGTCCTAATGTTACCAACACAAGCATTAGACACACTCTTATGGAAACATCAACTTTCTCTCTGAGGAGCAGATTAAATCTTACCTCCGTGAGGTAGCTCAGGTCCTCGGAGTTCCAGTCAATCTGCGGGGCACAAGGTAAATCTCAGCAACAAAGAGCTTATAAATTTTGTACAAATTGAAATATATATGAAGATTGCATACATGAGCATTATTTAACTTGATTGGTTTCAAGTACTGATCGAAGAACTGTCCCATGCTTGATCCCTGGAGTGGACGCATAAAAACACAAGTGTTAAATGCCAGCAAGCCAGAGTCAATGGCTCAAATACTCAAGGGCTAATCAGCTGGTTGTTACTGCATGCAAAAATGCAGTCATAAATTTGCATTGTAATAGAGTAGCCAACATACATGCTCGCCAAAGTTGTATGTTCTGCATACTTCTGGTCGAATAAATTGCCGACCTCCGTGTACCTCCTTTAGCCTCACCCAATCATCCCAATAAGTAAACTCTTGTCAAGGAAGAAACAGCTGATACAAGGTAGTAAAAAAAAGCATAGCTGCTAATCTAAGAATCAGTAGGCAACAGTAAGGATATGCTTTGGGCCACTTTGGTGATAGCTCCATCCATGTTGACTTTGTTAGCATCCATCCAAGCCCAGGAAAGAAGTCCGAACGATAAAGAGCTTCTGCAATGCATTATCTACAATAGTGAGTAACTTTCCCTATCAATGCGGAAATAAAGTTGAACAAATGCTTATCAGAATACTAACTTGGGTCATAAACGAACTGCTTCTGCCCATTGTCATTCCAAGAAGAAACAGCCATTATCGACCTACAATACCACAACAACAACAACAGTTACAGTAACCTAATTAGAAACACTTGATATTAATCAATTGCCTTTGCCATCAATAGTCAGAGTACAGTTGTAACATATTTGTCAGTATCAAGTAATTTCGCTGCAGCTTCGAAGTAGTCGAAGAAATCTGGGGCTATCTCCATGTCATCTATTAACCATTAAACCATGGAAATGAGATGGCATGTGCAATATATATAAGAACAAGACAGTCGAAGAATCATCAAAGAGATCAGACCTTCCAGAATGATTACTCGACCAAAATTATGCTTAATGAATAGCTCATCCAAGGCCCATTTATAGTGGTCTGAATTGAGAAACATATTTAGAACAAAAATCAATCATTCCATCAGCCTTAAGAAATACCGCATCAATTGAGGATCACCTACTAGCTATCTTGTAATATGCAATGTTTTCCCCAGGACTTTCAGTGTGCACAGGTTCAAGATCTACATGCTGCACCACATCAAAGGGAAAAGGAACACTGAGTGCTAGCTAAACAAATCATTTGCTCATAGCCTGTATGTCTAGAGAAGTACTGTAAATGCTATTTAGACAAGACTGAAATGATAAAAGGTGCAATCATCCAGATCCAATATCCTCCCAGCCCCACCCCTTCTCCATGCATTACACGGTTTTCTCAAGGGTAGCAGTTCCAATTGATGCTGTACCAGGGGCAGACCATTTCATGTTTGGACCATTGACATCGCTCATTTGACATCCACCTACATAACCTACTTTCGCAGTACCAAAATAATCTCCTGAAGAAGTTAAAACTGGCAATACGCTTCAAGTCCTACCTCCATCTAGATTCGCTACCACCTCTTGGTACATCTACAGCTTCTTGCAGGCCAAATTATCAATTTTATTTATTTATTTTTGCATTCATATAGCTACTTAGAGTAAGCAGTCACGCAATAACTTGTAGTATCAGCTATGCTAGCAATATTACAGGAGAAGCAGAGCATGTTCTGTTATGGTATGAGGCAATTGAGCATAGAGCAAGTGTTTCTTTCCACACCTGCATAAATGTTATTTGAGCATAACTCAAGGCCTTATTTTTTACTTCTCCATTAGTTCCATCCTGCAATTGGAAGAAGCAATGTAAAACTATCCTTCCACACACTTAAAGAGACCGAGAACAAGAACTGAAATTGCTATTAGCATTACCTGTGATATAAACAGTGGGAATTTTGAAGCAACTGCTTTCTGATACCTGGAAGAGTCATTGTCCATCATGTGGTGAGGAAGTGTGTTCTACAAAGTACACACAAACTGAAGCTACATGGAAGTAAAAGGAGCAAATAGGCTGTAAACAGATTAGGGAGTAATGGTCTAAGTTTCCTTATGAGATGTTTGTTGTATGACAAGTAAGGTGACAAGATTGCAATTTGATTTCCTATATAATACACAGGTGTCATCGACAGAGTGGGCTCTCATCAACATATAATAGCATAGGAAATTCTTCTTTTTTTGGAAAACAGAGGAATGGGGACGAAGCGTACTTGAGGATAGATTCAACTGTCCTCTGCAAATAGTCTGGTCGATTGCAAGCCATTATGACAACAGCGGCGACGGGGAGATCAGGTTGATCCTGTAGAGCAGAACAGGTTAACATCTTGGATTATGCCCTGGAATGAGCCTGATACGGAGAGGAAGAGGGGGCTTACTGCTTCCGCGTGGAGGACGCGTCCGGCGTCTTGAGAGGACTGGGTAGAAAAGAGCCGCACCTGAACAGAAACGGGAAACCGAAGTAGAGGCGGTCAGATCCCTGGCCGGCGACTGGCTGAGCCGGATGGATCTGATCCGTGGAGAGAGCAGAGCAAAGGAGGGGGGAGGGGTTTACTTGGATGTAGATGAAGGCCGCGGCGGCGGCGATGAGGAGGAGGCGCCGGAGGTAACGCGGGTTATGAGCCATCGCCGGCGAGCAGGCCGTGAACGGCGGAGGAAGAGCAGTCCCCGGCCTGACTTGACTCCGCTCCTGTAACACACACTGCTTTGCCTTACAATGGGGGTTTTTTTTCTGCGAGAAGGATTTCACATGGAAATTACACAAAAACCCCACATTTGAAACTAGGTCGACGAACTGGCACCACACTTCGTTGGGGCCCGCATGTTGAAACTTTGGTTGGACCGTATTATGTGAGCTCTCTCCTAGTCGACCCTCTCGAGTGACGCCTCGCCCTACACTAGTGCAGAACCGGGCTATAGCACCAGTTCGTAAGGCCGTGTCGGTTCTGTAACCGGCACTAAAGGATGAGAACTAAAGATTCAACACGAACCGCCACTAAAGGGCCACCACGTGGCACGAGCCAACGCCGGGGGCGGGAAGACCTTTAGTACTGGTTTGTAACACCAACCAGTACTAAAAGGTTTGAGTTTTTTGTATTATTATTTATTTTTCCTTTAATTTTGTGTTTTCTATTTAATTTAGAGATTGTTTTTACATTATAATGAGTTATTAAATCACTGGGTGAAAGAATCACGAATTAGTTTTAAGTGAATGGATCCTAATCCATATTACTTGATCACTTAGATAGGATCCATCCAGTTGAAACTAATATCCGTGGTTCTTTCATAAATGATATATATAACTCATTATCATCATACTAATATAAAAACTCTTGCATCGTATCATCAGCAACAACACTCTAGGTAATCATCATCATAGTCATTACCACTATTTAATCATCATAGTCATTACTGGTACACCACCAACACTAGCTTAAAGAAGAAACATTTCCTTATACCAGAAGCAAAGATATCATCGAGTTCAACATGATCATGAGATTATAAGCATTCATAAGACCACAAAAGCAAATCAATTTGAGATAGATTAAGTTCGGGACAAAGAACATAGACATGAGAGGACAAAGTACTAAGAGCAGGAACTATCTAATCACTCCTGCTGCTCTTTCTCGGGTAAAATAGCATAGAACATGTGTAGCTCTCCTGATTCATCATATTGGAGCATGCAGATGAATCTGTCTCCTGATCATGGGTTGTGTTTCTGATTGCTGCCCCCTAGTACTTCTCTGCAACCGTTCACAATTTTACTCCAGTCTTTCATTATTAAGCATTCCTCGGTTTTAGAAATCCTGAATGCACTCATGTGTGATGTAGGATGTCTTGGCCGTAAGCTAACCATTGACATGCGACCTTTAGTACCGATCCACTGAGGCACAACTATCATCAGGAGTCCCTGTTGAAGAACATCATATAATAACATACTTAGCAATGAAGTTTAGCTTAAAAAATAATGTATGCAAAAGATGCACTGAGGACAAATGGTAAAAATCTTACCATATTTCCTAAATAGATGTGACCGTAGTTCAATAGAACACAATTGGTTGCACGTTTTGAGTACTAAGATTTTCAAATTCAGTAAAATAATTTATCTTGACAGCATCAAGATCCTCAAGCCATGAAACTTAATGACTTATCTCCTCGCAGTTTAGTTCGTCCTCAGGACAGTGGACGATCATGTCTACCAAGCGCCAGACATGTTTGCTTGAATGGAAATAAGCTGTCAATAGAAATTAGTTGTCAACTATTTTGAAATAAACAATATCGAAGACATAAATATGATTGAGAAACTCACATAATGATATACCTGGAGGCGTCTGCACATTGACCCAAATGTCTCTATTACCTTCAATATCATATTCCGGACGAATATCAAAAATGATGACCATATCAGGCTCAAATGCATAAGCCTTGCATAGTGCTTGCCAAGTTTTGCATTCAAAATAGGTGTAGGTGTCTGCATTGTATAATTTGACATCGAAAGTATAACCATATTCGGTCTTCAAGTAAACGCTCTTTACCTCCACAGTTTTCTTAGAACTAAAATCTATCTTATCCAAGACAAAAATTCTTACATGGCAGGGGATACGCTAGTAGAATAGTAAAAATTTAAAATTATAAGTTGAAGCAAATGAAGCACAAGTCATGCTTAATTACGAAAAAAGACTTGTCATTGTGACTTACTGTATCCACTTCGAGTGTCTCATCCAGCTTGATGCTGAATCGCCTATCATCAATTAGGAAATTTCTGTTGCACAGGTCGCGCTCGTCTTCGCAGTATTCGCACATACCGAAATCGTTTTCTTCGCCAGAAGACATTTCTTATGCTCATAGTTGAAATATTAATTGATAGACACTTACTAGTTCAATTAATTCAACGAGTTCTATTAATTCAACTAAGCACTTACTAAAAATAAACTAGTTTTATTATTTTTCTTACTAAAAATAAAGTAGCTACTTCTATATAGTAAATTTTTATTAGATGATCAAATCTCATATACCTAAATTAAATATATCTAATTCATCTGACATTAATATATATAATTCATCTATAACTAAAAGTATAAAAACTAACTCATCTAACATTAATATATAGCTAATTCATCTAACATTTGACATTAATATCTAACATTTCTATCTAATTCATCTAACAATTGACATTAATCTAACATTTATATAAACTAAAAGTATAAAAAAACTAAAAACAGAAAATAACTAAAAAATATGTCTTTGTTTGTGTGTACTCTCTGTGTGTGTATGTGTACTGTGTGTGTGTGAGGGCCACCGGCCATGGCGCGGCAGGGCTGGGGCGGTCGATCTTACAGCGAGGCGACGGCCGGCGATGCGAGGCGACAGGGGGCGGTGACAGGCTGGGGAGGCGGCGGGGACGGGCCGGGGCGGGGACATACGGGGACGGGCCGCGGGCGGCGTGCGCAATCGACGCCGAGGGCGGGCGCGCGCGGTGACGAGGGCGGGGACGAGCACGCGCGACTGGGACGGGGACGGTGACGGCGACGGGCGCGCGCGGCGGGGATGGGCGCGACGACGACGGGGACGGGCGCGACAATGAAGAAACAGATAAAGAAGAAACTAACTGAATTTTTCGTAAGTGCTATATATATAGGAGGGGCCTTTAGTACCGGTTGGAGCCACCAACCGGTACTAAAGGTCAAATTTGGCCAGGCCAAACGGCGGAAAGGGCACCCTTTAGTACTAGGTGGTGGCCCAAACCGGTACTAAAGACCCCCCTTTAGTACCGGTTGGAGCCACGAACCGGTACTAAAGAGGGTGCGCTTCCATCCCCGGTGCACAAAGTTTAGTCCCACCTCGTCGAGCGAAGGGTAGCCGCACTGATTTATAAACCCAGCCGCGGTTGTTTCTTCGAGCTCCTCTCTAAAGTAGGCTAATGGGACTAACTTTGTCGCGCTGCCTTGTGAGCTTGCTAGGCCTTATGGGCCTGCATACACGCCCAAGGCCAAGCAGGCCCACTGGGTAGCGCGCAAATTTGTTTTTATATAGTTTTTTCTTTTCTGTTTTATTTATTTATTTTTATTTATTTCTGAGTTGTTTTTGCTATATTTAGAGTTTCTTTGTGAATATTTTTGTTTTAGGTAGAAAAACATTTACAAACTTTATGTTAGTGCCAGTAGTTTTCAAATTTAAATAGTTTAAATTTGAATTACTTAAAATTTGTGTGAATCACTAGTTTGTGAATAACTTAACTTAAAAAATAGATTTTTCAGTGATTCTTTTTTCTTATGTTTAATATTAGTGTATTTTATCATTATATTCAAATTGGTAATACTTCTGGAGTTGTAATAAGTTTAAAAAAATGGAGTGCCTTTGTAACAGATGAGTTTTTGTCCGAAACGCTGATACTTCGAAAGAGATTATTCAGTTTTTACATGAAATGCATCCAGTCTTTGCCGTAACTCTCTCTCTTTTTTTCACATGCTATGTGGGTGAAATGGTGATACCATGCCAAGTTTCAACCTTTTTAGAGTTCATTTATAGTGCTTTTCAATTTCAGAGTCATTTAACTCAAAACAAATCAATAAATGCATGAAAAATAGCAAATGATGTCAGAAAGGGTTGAAAGTTGATGACGTGGCTTTGAATGCATACTGAACGCAAAAAAGCCTGGAGTTGTAATAAGTTTAAAAAAATGAGGTGTGTTTGTAATAGATGAGTTTTCGTCCGAAACGTTGATACTTTGAAAGAAGTTTTCGAGTTTGTACACGAAGTGCATCCAGTTTTTGCCATAGCCCTCTCTACTTTTTTACACATGCTATGTCGGTGAAATGATGATACCATGCCAAGTTTCAACCTTTTCAGAGTTCATTTGTACTGCTTTTCAATTTCATGGTCATTTAGCTCAAAACAAATCAGTAAATGCATGAAAAATAGCAAATGATGTCAGAAAGGGTTAAAAGTTGATGACGTGACTTTGAATGGTGCATACTGAACGCAAAAAAGTCTGAAGTTATAATAAGTTTAAAAATGAAGTGCCGGTGTAACAGATGAGTTTTTGTCCAAAACGCTGATAGTTCAAAAGAAATTGTCCAGTTTGTACATGAAATGCATCCAGTTTTTGCTGTAACCCTCTCTACTCTTTTGCATATGCTATGTGGGTGAAATGATAATACCATGCCAAGTTTCAACCTTTTTAAAGTTCATTTATAGTGCTTTTTAATTTTAGGGTCATTTTGCTCAACACAAATCAGGAAAAAGTCCAAAACAAACCTTCAATTTGTAGGCGAAAGCTAAATCAAACCCCGAACTCTCAATCCCTGAAATCAGCACACCAAACTCTCTAATCCCGGTCTATTTTAAACCTTGACAGAACATGGCCGGGATTTGCTGAATTGGGTCGGCCCAGTAGCGCAATTGCTCGCGCGACACTAATCTGTTTTTTTCTTAGTTTCTTCCTTTTGCGTTTTCATTTCTTTTTTTCATTTTTACACATGTCTAATTTTTCTCAGTACCCAATGTACATTTTTAACGCACACATTTAATATTTTTGGATAAACTTTTGATATTTTCAAATATATTATGTACATTTATAAATTACATGTTTTCAAAACTTTTTGAATACATGGTAATATTTTTTCC